TCGGAACGTGTGGGCTACCTACGTTATAGCTACTAAAGCAGTTCTTTGGACGAGGCAGAAGAGGAATCGTTTCAACACCTTCTAAAATATTAATTAAATATATGTTCATTAGAGTGTCCCGAGAAACACAGTCCCCCCGGTGTATGTTTCCTTGATGAAAGACCCTTATCTTGGTGTATTACAATCCCGGAGTAAAGAGATGATACCAGTACCTCTAGTCTGCAGTCTGGTGATGTCACTTCACTCCTCGGCTAGTCCTTGGCATGATTTAACATGGGGACTAACCAAAGCACCACATAATCTGGTACTACAGGTGGCCAGTTGCCCGCATAACAGTGTTCTGGCTGGTCAGTTGGTTGAGGTTTCTTCGGGATCCACGTAGTGGCTGTGGTTTAAACCTAAACTCGCAGGAAGGGGATGCATGGTTAAAAGATTGATGCACGGTGAAATATAAATTTTCGGGATAAGTTTCTGTTACCACAGAGTAAGGCTGTGGATTAATAAAATGTTGGAATTGTGCTGATAATGCAAAGATTGGTATGTGTTGGAATGAGATGTACCATCGGATACTTGTATCTGACGGACGAGAGGGATGCTGAGTTGTATCTATTGATATGTCGGAAGGAGGAATGTAGTGATGATTGAAGTGTCGTTTGAATCAGGTTGATGCCTTGTGGAGTTGATTTTCCTTCATGATTGAGTGTGTTGGAGTTTACTCTAAACATGCTAAACTAGGTCTGTTAATTAAATATAGATCCAAGTTTTCGAACTACCAATTTCGTCCCCTATGTGATGTTGCCGAATCAACAAAAGCCATCTCAGTAGTGTAGTTGAACGACATATAAGCTCCAGGAATGCACTGGTGTGAGTCTTTAGATGATGAGAATGTTTGTAGGGACAGAGCATTCCTCATAACATCAATAGGTCATTTTTATCTGATGTTGGGTCCGCCCCTTCTATTGACTCAAACCAGTGATTGCCTTTTCCTTTGTCGCGGTTAGATTGAGCTCGCTCATGACCCCCACAATTCCCCAACAGGATGCCCCTTCTATTGACTCTAACCAGTGATTGCATTTTCCTTTGTCGGGGTTAGATTGAGCTTGCTCATGACACCTGTAATTCCCCAACGGAACTACTATGGCAACAGATTAGATAGCTCGAGCAAAGTGTACATATGTATACTGTACTGAGCAGAGTAAGGAGAGCGTTCAAATTGATCTCTCTCGAGAGAGATATTATTTCGAGCGAAATAAATTATTTACTTTATTGTGAATATATCTGTTTTTCTCTTCAGTTTAAATTTAAATCTCACGAGAAATATTTAAATTTATAGAGCGGAAAATACATTTCTCTTATGAAACGAGTACAAATGAATTTATCGGGAGTTTTATAATACTGTATATAAAGTTCTTCGCACAAGCATGCACACACACACGCTCATCTTTTTTCGTTTTTTACGACCTCACACACATGCACATTTCTTTCATACATTTTTTGTTTTTTACACACATTTTTTGTATGTAAGTTTCACTCAAATTCTATTCATTTTGATATCTCTCGTGAGATGAATTAAAAAATCAAAATACATAGATATCGCTCTTGAAGTGAACATAAAAAATTAAGAGTTGAAATAAAAATACTTCTCGCGAGTATAAAATAAATTCTCGTGAAAATGAGCTGTATAACGAGAGAAATAAATAAAATAATATTCACGAGTGCAAAAATTACTTACTCTGGTACTGAGTCGTTGCAAGAGCTCACCCAGTGGTTGAAAAAGACCATATTGTACTAAGATCAGGATTTAAGGATCTTATCAAAAAATTTTTGTATTTTTCTCGTTCTCGTTTAGTACATCAATATGCATAGTTTGAGAGGTACATATTTCTTAAAAAAAGTGGTACACGGGACACCCTAATATACATATGTATGTGTGTATCTTATTAATAAATTAGACACACACGGTTTTTGTATGAGAAAAAATCAAGAATAATTACTGAACTTATAATATGCATTCCAATCACTTATACCTATGTATCCCACATATATAAAATCACACAATACTTCCTTAAAATGTTTGTTTACAAAACAGCCAGAAGTAAAAAATGCAAATTATAAAAATCTCTTTCATACAATTACTTCTAAGATCTAAAAAGAAGCATATCACATGTCAAGAAAAAGCCATCGTTACCAATAAGATAAGAGAAAATCTAGCTCTTCATACAATGACTTTGATAATATTTTTCGATAAAACCAAGTGGGAGTTGGTAGCTGGAAACAAAAAGATAATAATAACATAAAGGCAATACACATTTCATTGAACAAGTACTCGGGCTAGGCTCTTAAAATGGAAAACAATAAATATTTAACATCATTGATGGCCGTGAGGCAATTGCAAAAAAATGGAAAACAAAATTGAAACAAAAAGAAACTCATTGAGTGCTCTGCCCATGGCTTAAATGAAATTTCCCGAAAAGGTCTTCCTTCTTTGTCTTAATATTTCGAAAAGTAAAACACAACGAAAGAAAATTGTTTGATATATGAAAAGAAAAAAACGACAATGACGAGCAATATTAATGTTCTCGACATTTAACAGTTTTTCTCTTTTTTTTTGCGCCGCAGAAAATATACAATACAAGACAAGGGAAACAAAATTAATGGGAAATAAAAAACAATACATTGCTGAAAAAAAAAGACGTTAAAGTAGCAGCAACATAAAAACTGTTTCCATTTCAATAATTGTTCATGGGTAAAAATTAATTGCAGTATTTAACACAACAGCCAGACATACCTGGCGTTGATTTTGCTGCTGCTTCAGTTGCCTGCCATTCTTTTGGAGGCATTTTTATGAAAGCTTTAAGGAAAATAAATGGTTGTTATCATTGTATCTGTAAGGAAAATATTTTTTTCTTTTTTTGTTTTTTTCTGTTTCTTTTTAAATTAAAGTTATTAATAAAGATTTTGTTTACGTAGACATAACTAGGTTGGTCGGTTATGTACGGATTAATGGGATATTATTAAAGTGGTTGAGTACTTTGGATTGCTTTGTTAAAGAAATGTTAAAGTACGAGAGTTAAAAAAACAAATAAGAAATTATAGTTGGGCTTGGCAGACCATATGATACCCTACACCAATTGCGAATATTATATGTGATTCATTTCAATAATGAAGCATTTATGTTGAATCTTATATAGGTTCGAAATAATGTCTGTTCATGTACGATTGTATGCTGACTAAGAGAAATAAAAGACCGATTTCAAACATTATCAACAGCCTTCGTCATTGGATCCAGAGAATAGTATGTGACCCATTTTAACAAATTATATTCAAAATTGCGAGCTGTTGCATGCACACAAGGTTTACACGGCCACAAAGGCGGACATAGTTTAATCGAAGTGAAAGTGATTCTGAACCGACTGGTATACTTAAAGACAAATATTTTTGAGTGTTACAAACATAAGCATAAGATTTATCGTTATATAAAACTTATTTGTGCTAAATTTCATCGTGATACTAGTGTTTATAAGTGAATTGTAGACATTTAAGTCATTTTCTGAAGGGGACTTTGCATGGGGGATGGGCTCAAATAATGCCCGATCATTATAAAAATCGACAGTGTTATTTATAATTATATCAAACTTTGTTGTGCTGATTTTTGGAGTGATAGTAGTATATTTGAAAAAGTTATGAGCTAAAAGGCCCAAATCGGAAGGGGGTTATTACAAAACTTGGGCCGATCCTTATAAAATTTATTGTCAGAATTTATGTTTATATGAAACTTATTTGAGCCAAATTTCATAGATTTACTAGTGTTTATAAGTGAATTGTGTACATTCAAGTCATTTTCAGAAGGGGACTTTATATGGAGGCTAGGGTCAAATAATGCCCGATCTTTACGAAAATCACTAGAATTATTATGATATATATAAAACTAAATTTTGCCAATTTTTGTAGGGATAGTAGATCATTTAACATAATTATGAGGTAAAAAGCCTTATTCGGGGGGTCCGATTGTTTGGGGCTAGGTGAAATAATGGACCGATTTCAAACATTTTCAATAGCGTTCGGGGAGCTTATATTGAGGGTAGCGTCAATTATGGACCGATCATCAAAAAGTTTTTTAAGGAGATTTTGGCTCATATGAAATTAATTTATGTTGAATTTCATCGCTATAGTAACACTTTTAAATCATATATACCCGTTAAGGCTGTTTTTCGGGGGTCCACTTGTATGGGAACTATCCGAAAACGTAGTCCGATATGGCCCATTTTCAATACCAAACACCCCTTACCTATAGAGAATATTTGTGTCAACAGACAGACGGACGGACATGGCTAGATCGTCTTAGAATTTAATAAGAACTCAGAATATATATACTTTTGTGGATCCATGAAAAATATTTCAAAGTGTTACAAAAGGGTTGACAAAATCAATATACCCCCATCTTTTTGATGGTGGGTATAAATAGGCAAACTTTGACCCATTGTAACTTTGACCCATTGTAACTCTCACAGATCTTGTTAAAAACTACTAACTAAACTAGTAAATTTCATCCAGATTGGAAGACATCGGATTCAAAAGTTGGATCCCTTGACATGAAGTCCCCAAATATATATACATAGACATTTAGACAGTCTGCTTAAAGAGGTGTCACTAAAGATTTAATAAAATTTTTTACAATTACAGATTAGTTCTGTATGGTACCAGAGGATACACAAGATTGGGTCAATTAGATAAAGATTTCATTTTTCCTTTAAAAAATCTTTAATTGATAATTTCACCTCTCTGTTGACATAAGTACACTTAGAACGGCAAATGGAGGGTCTAAACTACTTATGTATGTACCTCTGTATTATTAAGCAGAGTGTAAAAAATATAAAAATCTCAACTTTAACAATTTATTTCAATATCATATTCAAATATATCCTTACAATCATGCATACATATATATGCGTGTATATATATGTATATATAAAACATCTACTTATGTATATTTAACTTACCATCATTACTCTGCTCGTAATATTTCTTTTCCATATGACCCATTTGTACATCACAGTTTATTTTGCCACCCACAATCCCACTACCACCATTGCCACCGCCACCACCACCACTACTACCATCTTGCTCCATTAAAGGTGAATTGCCTGAACCCATGCTATCATCACCAACGCTACCAATTCCCACACCTCCACCACCATTATGTTTTATAAGTTCACTATATTTATCCTTAATCAAAGTTGTGCCCCCATTTATTGTAGTCTGTTGCAGATGATGATGATGATGTTTCTTATACTTCAACGTATCATCGACAACACCCAACATTACATCTGTATTGCCGGCCATTGTGGTTGTACCATGATTAGCCACTACAGTGCCATGGGCGGTCAGGGGATCAGTGCCACTTAAGTCAAGATGATGATGACGATGCTGATGTGCCGAGGCAGAGGCTATAAAACGTTTGTATATGCAACAGGTAACCATGGCCAGAAACACGGATACACTGAGTAAACCCAAAGCCATTAGGGATATAACGGCTGCTAAGTTACCCTGCAACATGTCGCGTGCTCCAGCCTTTTGTATGAGTAAAGTCATTTGTACACTATCTTTACCACCGGCGTTTTCAGCAATACAAGTGTAAGTGCCTTCATCTGACTTTTCAGCACCCATGATGGTGAGGCGTGATATATAGACATTGCGACCAAACTCCTTTTCTTTGGATAAATCGTCCTGAATAATTTGTATATGTACGCGCTGTTGCAGTTGTTGTTGAGGCGGTGGAGCCAATTGACTGGTACCGGTTTTATACACGGGTTTACTGCCATAATCCCAGGAGATGTGTGTATTGGCCGAAGCATGCACCCTACACACTAAAGTAACATTTTCTTTGGAGGTATTTATGGAAGCTCCTTTGGCGGGGAAAATGATGCGTGGCTTACAGGCAAAGGCTTCGGGTTGATCTTCTATCCAAAGCATACCGCGCAAAGAACTGGGATAGTAGCAGGCGGTGGGTGGGGTATAGAGATTACGTCGCAGCACAAAATCACGAAAGATTTGCAACTCGCAGGTGCAGTTCCAGGGATTACCATCCAACGACAAAGCCGTCAAACGCTTAACAGACTCAAAGCTCTCTTTGCGTAAAAAACTCAAACGATTATTGTTCAAATAGATCTGCGACAGCAGCGGCACATTCACAAACACCTGAGTGGCAATCTTGACTAAACGATTGTCTTTCAGTTCCACTTTATGCAGATATTTGAGATTTTGAAATATGCCATCGCCCAAAGACTCCAGTTGATTGCCATTCAAGATTATGGCTCTCACCTTGACCAAACGGGCAAACAAATTGGCCTGCAACAAGCGCAACAAATTATTTGAGACATCGAGTTCAATTAGTATTTCTAGTTGGGTAAAACTGCGCGGATCAATGTGCTGTAAAGAACTATTGCGTATATACAATTTATGAAGATTGGTGAGGTCAGCATTGAGAAATGAATTCTCCTCCAGATATACAATACGATTGAGTGATAAGTCCAGTACTTGCACCTCATTACTAAGGTTTTCCGGCACACCGGTAAGTGTTAAGTTCTTGCAATCTGCTGTCTTTTTGCCCGAATTCCATTTGCAGTGACAGTCACCGCAATCCATTAGCCAATCAGCGGAGGCTTGCGCGGGCATATTGCTGAGGAAAGTGAAAAGTATTAACTGGCACAACAACAATAACGTGGAATTATATTTGAAAAATGGTAAAAACTGTACAAATCGAAATAATTCTAATGTATATTGTCGTTGCTGTTCCTCTTTCTCTTCCTGCTGCTGCTGCTGCTGTTTTCTTTTGACAAATATTCTGCACGACTGTTTTTCCTGCTGACGCTGCTGACCGTATCGCTCTTTAGTGATGATTTTTCTTTTCTTTCTACGTCCTATGCTTTCAAATTGTTCCGTTTTAGTTCTTGTTTGCTGTAGTTGAGGTTGTTGATGTTGCCGTTGTTGTTGTTGTTTAAGCTGTATTTTATTGCTCTTGTTTTTCATGTTTTCCTCTGAGCCTTTATCACTTCTATGCTCACATCAGTCACGTTGACAATTTTGGCCACCGTTGCACGACACGTAATTGGACTTGTAGAGTAGCTGCTCTGACTCTGGCAACTGCTCCTGTTAACTGTTGTAGAAGTTGATGTTGTTGTGTTAGCAATATTTTTGTCGTCTGCTGCTGCTGCTGTATTTTCATTTAATCGTTGTATCTTGTTTCTGTCCCTTGCAGTTGTTGCTGTTGCTATATATTTTCTAGGTTGATTTGTTATTCGCTTCATAGAAATTTTGTCGCTGCAAGTTATGTTGCGTTGTTTTGTACTGGTTGATATTTTTTTGTGATTTCTCCCACTTATTACAAATTGCACACAATTTTATATTGTCGCACTAGTGGCTTCCACAGTGTGTTGCTCTGGCTTTTTTTGTGGGTCGTTTTCTTTTCCAAGTTTATTGTTGGCACAATGACAGAAGCACAACACACATATCACCAGGCTAAAATGAAATTAAAATATGAGCTTTTGTTAGTTTATGGTTGTTGGTTTATTGTTTTGTGTGAATACATATTTATTAGGCTGGTTCACAAGATATGTATATTAAAGGTTTTGGATTAAAATAGGAAGTCTTGTTAAAATAGAAAGTCTTGTTAGGAAGAATGGGCAGTTTTAGGTTACTTCTTTTGGAAAGCTGTCAAATTTAATTTTCGTTGGACATTGTAAGGTTAACCCTAATGTACATAAATTGCTTGTTTTGTTGCTAGCTTTTAATAAATTTGAAAGATTTAATTAAAATTTTGGCTTAAGTCAGGTTGGAAAAAGCTATAGAGAATTCTCAAAAACTTTTTAAGCGTTTAAAAGTAGAAAAAAGTTGAAAATCGTATAAATTTTTTTTTCTTTTTTTTTTGGACTATTGACTATACTATAGTTCATTAATACTAGAGACAGTCTACAATATAGACTAAACAATAGCCCAGACTAATAAGACTATAATCCTGACTATAGTCTGCAAGTCTATTCTCCAGACTACAGTATACAATATAGACTATAGTCCCGACTGTAGTCTATACTATGGACTATATCGCAGACTATAGTGCCCTATAGAGTAAATTATAGTCAGTTGTATAGTTCAGAAAGTGGTCTGAACTTTACACTAGACTATATACTTGAATATGTACTATAATATAGTTCAGACTATAGTCTACACTATAGTAGAGACTACAGACTACAAGACTATAGTCCAAACTACAATCTATAGATATAAGTTATAGTCCATAGACTATAGTCGACTCTATAGACTAGACTTTATTCCAGATTGTAGTCTATACTATATACTATATTATAGTCCAGACAAAAGACTACCCTATACTCCACTATAGTCCAGCTTATAGTAAACTCCAGACGACAGTCTACACTACAGACTAGACTATAGTCCAGGTGAAAGTCTACATTATGGACTATACTATAGGATATACTATAATCCAGAATATAGTATACACTATAGTACAGTCTAATTTATTTTCAACACTCTAGGTCCAAATAAGTGCTTAAATAAGTCATTACATGTACATAACTATATTGTTTTTATACCCTACACTATTATAGTGCGGAGGGTATAAAGCGTTAGTGATGATGATTGTAACACCCAAAAATATTGATCCTACACCCACCTTATACTACAGCAATCGGCTCAGAATCTCTTTCCGAGACGATTTAGCTATGTTCGTTTGTCTGTCTGTATGTCCATATAAACCTTGTACGCACGCTATGCTGGTGTAGGGTATCATATGGTCGACCATGCCCACTATAAATTCTTACTTGTTTAATATAAAAAGAGATAGCAGACAAGTATAATAAATTTGGTATTGCGTTCATTGGTCCGCTGTCGTACTCTCAACAGCGTAAGTCATGTCTAAAGCACTTGAAAGTAATGCAAACTGTATGTTGTAGTCATTGAAAGTTAAGTTCTTATTTAAGTACAAATCATTGCTACAATTTTGCTGTGTATATATCAGATTATATATTATTACTAGAAGTTGATGGTTTTTGATTAAGTATAAGTTATTACCAAGCTTTTGCTGATAATACATTAGTCACAGCTCCCTGTTTGAATAGTCAAAGGAAATAGCAACAGTTATGTACAGTTGCTTTATTATATGTTTGTAATGTTAAAATTTACTTTAATTTTACTTTTACATCATAAATAAAGCTAATTTTATTCTCTAAAATATTATCACTAACTTACATATATATTTTATTCTTAAACTAAACTTATACCCCGCAATGAAACTTTGTACAACAAGTGACATGTAATTAGAATTTCCAAGAATTTTGTTTGCCTCTAAGAGATAAATGCTGTAGAAAATCTTAAACTTTTGAAATTGCTGATAATTTTTTTTAAACAAAATATAAGTTAAATATAATGAGACAAATTTAACACCTAATTATTTATTTTTCTTTACGAAAAATTGTCTTTTTAACACTAAAGCACTTTTATACATACTTTTCCTGCTTTTTGAGAAACAATTTTAATTTCTATTGATACAATTAAGATATAATGTCACTTTATGCTTAAGTGCTCAATAAAGAAAACAAAATTTTTTTGTTGAAAAATTGTTTGTCAATGTTTAAACTTTTAGTAAACGAGAATTCTATGAGTCTTACTGGCTACAGAGAGCAGTGCTGGCACAAAATGTAATATTGTATATACATTTACTTTCAAGAACAATTGAAACGTGTGCTAAATAGAAACTTTTTTAAGTGAACGACAATAACATTATGAAAGTCCGTCAACTATCCTGGGGGAAATTTGACAAAACTTTCTAAGCAACTTTAACAACGACACCAACCAACACTTTAATACGCTCCAAGGCAATTTAAGCTGCCAAATATTGGTAGAAAGAACAAGTAGACTTTAAACTTCTATATCTTAAATTAATATAAAATAATATTTTTAAACTTTTTTAAACATGGTGGTTGGTTAGTTTTTATTATTTGAAAAATATTGTTATTAGCAATTACCTAGGCCAATGGGATTCATGTTGTTTTATGTTATAAAAACAAGTTTAATTTTTACTTTTGAAAAAAGTATAACACAATGGAACTTCTAATAGATTTAAAAAGCCTAAAAACCTTTTGAACTATTTCTTTATTAGCATTTTAACCCAGTAATGACATTGGAGTTAATTCACTTACCTAAGCGAACTTAAATAAGTACTTACTAATAGGGAGTTTGTATTACGCACAAATAAATTGTTCCCACAGAATATGAACCTGGACCTCTTGTTTGTTAGTTAGGTGTCTTACTCACAACATCCCAGCAAAAACTTATATTGAAAAGTAATATGTTAAAAAAGCAGTCTGTCTGTCTGTCTGTCTGTCTGCCTGTATGTAATCTGTATGTCTGTCAGTATGTACATACATACAAATAAATTGTTCCCACAGAATATGAACCTGGGCCTCTTGTTCGTTAGTTAGGTGTCTTATTCACAACATCTCAGCAAAAACTGTGTGTCTATCTGTCTGTCTATCTGTCTGTCTGTCTGTCTGTCTGTTTGTCTGTCTGTCTGTCTGTTTGTCTGTTTGTCTGTCTGTCTGTCTGTCTGTCTGTCTGTCTGTCTGTCTGTCTGTCTGTCTTTCTGTCTATCTGTCTATCTGTCTATCTGTCTGTATGTCTGCCTGTCTGTCTGTCTGTCTGTCTGTCTGTCTGTCTGTCTGTCTTTCTGTCTGTCTATATAATATGTTTAAAAACTAGAAAACCGCTTTTGACTACTTATTCATTAGTATTTTAACTCATTATTTTAATACGGTAATGACATTGGAGTCAAGTACTTAACACGCACGCTTACAAATCACTACTTAAATAAGTACTTACAAAAAGGGAGTTAAAAAATAGTTTTGCTTTGTTTTAAAAACAAACAAAATCGATCACACAGAGTACGAATCTAGGCTTCCTCTTCGTTAGTTCACTGTCTTACAACACCACTACTAAGTTTTTTTATTGTGCGCCAAATAGAAGAAAACCTATTAGTAGTGGTCATTGAAAAGTAAGTAGTGATATAAGTACTAGTCATTATCGTGTTTTTTTCTAGGTCTTTTTGCTATAATTAATAAGTACATATGTACCTTTAATATTAAATTTAATCTCTTCACAGCCAAATGGCCTCTAAACTCAACAACCTAACCCAACATTTTTCCTATTGTAACATACACCTTACTGTACATAAAATTTTACTAAACTTTTTCACCCTCTCTATAATAAGGTCAACTGGCAAGGTAAATGTTAGAAAAAAATTACTAACTACTTATAGGGTCTTAAAGAAAATCAATAATTAGTACTTAACATTTTTATTTCAGATTATTGTAAATGTAAACGCATTATTTTGTACGTTTCAACATTAAAGTAAGAACAAAATGTTTAACAACCTTTTTTTTATTTAGTTAACAAATAACAAATGCTACGCAGTTACATTGTTGTTTCATATACCTACATACTTACATAAGTATATAATTTTCTAGTTTTATTTTTTATTTACAGAACCATAGAAAAAGTTGCTCATGCAAGAAAACTTGCAACATTAACAACTTTTAAAGAAGTTGAGGAAAAGGTTGCAGTAATATCTATATACAAAATATGAAATGTATGTACGTAGCAATCCAGACATATATACAAGCCAAAACAGCAATGGCAGTAGATAAAGAAGAAATTCAAAACATTTCGTTTTGTATAAAGTATTTTTTATTTCTTCGCAACATTTAAATGCCATTAAAAGTTTTCGTTCGAAATATGCTTTTGCATGCGTTTGATTAGTAGTAAAAGAAACTATGAGTAGATTTTAGTTGTTGTTTGTTTTGAAGGAAAAAAAAGTTAAAACAAAACTTTGTTGTTGTATTTGTTAGATCTTCACTTTATTATTTTAACGTTACTAAAATACACACATACATAAAGTAAACAAATTCATGTATAAGTATGTGTGTACTCTTACATTCTTTTCGCTGGTATTACTCTTGTGTATAAATTAGAGGTTTGGGGAATTATTACATGAGTTTAGAAATAAGGTATGGCAAAATATTTGATTGTATTAGTGCTTTAAGTATATGGATATGAACGTCAGTAGACTGAAAAGTTATTGTAGAATTCGCTGGGGATAAATCGAGAATATGTATCGAGTATATCATTGTAGGAAGTTGTAAATTTCGATTACACTTTCTTTTTCAATGAACATTTTCTTAATATCAAGTATTTAGTTATGCCCTGATAGAATTTTACTTACATAAAACGTCTGTCTATTTTTGTTTTCGGTCTGCAATAGTTATTTGAGTGTATTTATGATTAACATAAAAAGTTTATACCCTACACTAGTATAGTGGGTAGGGTATAATGCATTTGTGCTGATGTTTGTCCGTCTGTCTATCTGTCTGTCTGTCTGTTTGTCAGACATGGCTTTTGAGCTCATAAATATGTTAAATGTCCACGTATCACTCCAAAAATCAGCAAAACT